AAAGAGAAGGGAAGAGAGAGAGAGAGAGAGAGAGAGAGAGAGAGAGAGAGAGAGAGAGAGAAAGAGAACTCGCGCGCGCGTACGATTAGTTTACTCGCAGCTACTCAGCGGATCAACTCAGAGGCCGTGATTTTTGCGTAAGATCGCTGGAACCGGTGACGAAACGATGATCCAGGGGTCTTCTGTATCTGCACTCCCCGTTTTGACACTCCGTGTATCCCCAGGTCGTATCTGCATTAACCGACAATAGCACGATGCACAAATAATAAAATATGTTTGCCCAAGAAATCTCCCGCGAAGCTGCAAAAGAGAGAAGAAGATATGAGAGGATGTAGTCGCGCGTCTTTTATGGAACGTTTGACAAGACATTTGCATTATCAACGCGAGCTTTATCGGAACTGTTTGCCGAGTGCACACCGACATATCGACCTATCGGTGCGTATGGTATGCGTCGATATCTGATCTAATTATCGTTGCAATCGTCCATTGTCTATAAAACAGTTAGACGGAGGACTATTCGCGTTCTTCATTTCGAGCGAGATCCTACGAGATCTCGCTCCCGCGATTCCGATACTTTAATCTTTGTATATTAACTGAATATTAATTATAAATTATTCGTGTTCGCGATTGTGAGAATATCTTATCTAAAAATCAACATCAGCTTCCGATACAATAAATTTCTTCGCGCGAATCTTTTGATATTAAACTAAAGTCTATATTCTGAATTATCTTTTATTGCTGAAAGCGTCTTTAAAAGAGGCTTATGATCAATCAAAAGGCTTATAAGCCACTTTTAGAGGCGCTTTTAGCGATAAAAGAAAGTCCGAAGTATTATGGGTCTAAATGTCGATACTCGACAGGCAGTATTAAACTGCATGGGCAACTGTGATTATGCTGAGAAATCTCTAAAGATACTTCTGTTTTAAAATGTATCAATACATATGTTTCTAATTGACTCAGTAAAAGGACTATTTCACCGATAATTAGTAAATATTCCACTAATTTTCAATAAAAACACCCTCACTTTACTGCTCCGTTTTATTTCTCGCTAATTTCAACCGGTAAAAGTAAAATTTCATTGCAAAATCTACAAAATTTGTTATGCGCTATACATTCAGGGAAAAAGACATAGTGATGGTAACTACATAATAATATTGTAACTACATAATATTTAAGTATCATGGAGATCATGACTAATCTTGTTGACCGTGAAGATCGGTACTGTCCCTCGAATCGAGAAAAACACGAGTGATAAAGCGAGCAACTGATAATTAGAACACTCTGAGGATTACAGGTAACCGATTGACCGGAAGTAAAGAATCACAATTCTAAATACGCCATTTGCGTCTGTGAATTGAACGTTGTCGCGGGAGGAGGACATCGAGCGTGCAGTATTCCTCACTACTGTCTAAGGCCCAGTTCTCCAGTTAACTTAACTAGCTAGTTATTTCATTGGACTTGATCAATCGCATTTGACATTAAGAAGAGTTAATCAGAATTAATCAATCACTATTGGAATTTAACCAGTAATCAAAATTAAACGGATGTTGTGAAACTTGGCCTAAGTGTTAGAAACGTCGAGTGTCGATTGAATCGGCCGTTTATCCTCACATGGTACAAATTGTCCCAAAATCATCCGAAATGTGTAAAAATATAGTCAAATATAGTCAAATATAACAAATATAGTCTTGAGAAGTGTTCTAAGAGCACTCTGAGCATATTCAGAACGATCTCAGGGCTTTCTACTGTTTCTCTGCATGGAGAGACTTTATAGTGAAACTTACTCTAAGATTTTATAACCAAGGAATAGATTTTGCAGCAACTCATTATCCTTTCATTTCACGTGTGTTATTTATACTTTAGAAACTAAAATGTGCTGTTAAAACACTTGCTATGTTTCCAATGAAAGCTGCTATGTTTCTAGCGAATTTACTACACTGAGAAAAAATGTTTAGTATTTGTAACAATAATCGTCTAAAAAAATAATTATTATAAATTAGGGTCAAGAGAACTATTTTTTTATTAAATTCTACTATAATATTAGTAGTGATAAACTTATATGCATGTTAATACTACCATTTTTGTATTAGAACAACCAAAAGATATAGTTGAGGCCAAAAATAACTTTAATTAGATTAGCCATTTTTTTCTATCTGTGTGTGTTCCTCAGCAAGATGAGCCTTACTGACAGTTTATTCCTGAACTATTAAAAACATAGTAATGTTGATGAAAATTTATATGAAAAAGATATGCTATAATATTCTTAGTACCGGTCTCGTCGTGCGGTTTTCGGACGAGAAACGTTTACCTCATTCGTCCCGATCGGCAGATGCGTCCGTTACTAGAAGATCCTCCTAGATTATTATCTGCGAGGATCTCGCGTCTAGTTGTGGAAAACTTTGAATCGGTGCATCCGAAAAGTTTTAACTAACGCGCGCGAGCACGTGGCACAGTTTATATATTAAATTATGCCGCGCGCGGCGGGCGTGGCGGGCATTCCACCGATAGCATGATCGACAATCGAATCGGATTCCCGGGAAATAGACGTCCCCTGCTCTGAAGTCAGGCTTAGGTCATCACGTGACGATCGACACGTGACGATCGACACGTGACGATCGTTCCCTCAGTGACGTCACCGCGGGGGAGGCTGAGGACGAGAGAGGGAGTTCGACCCGCGAATCGCGGCGCGTTTAAATGGCGAGCCGCGCGCCGCCGCGAACTCAGTTTCTCCATTGCGTCGTAAAAAACGCACTGAAATCCTGCGTTGTTCGTATTATTCGCATATTTTCCTCGTTGCGTGTCGAGAGAAGCTTCTTGAGAGCTTTTTACATTACCGACCGACTGAAGGATTATTGACGTACGCCGCGAAAGAACTTGCGATCGTAAGCCGACAGCCGACACTCGCGGGAGAATCCCGTGGCGAATGTTCGCCTTTTCCTCGACAGATACTTTTTCCTGACATCAAATACTCTAACGAGGCTCTATCTACACGACTGTGATGTCTCCAGGTAGCAGAGAAAACCAAAAGCATCCTTAGAACTGAACACAACTCGAATTTCTCGAGATAACTGACACGCTCCGGCGTCACGTGACTGTCTCGTCTTGCTAGAGGAACAGACTCCCCGATAACCAGACGAGAACGGGGTTCTTCTCTGAGAAGAGTAGTCAACGAAGTAATCATCAAGTGAGTGCAACGCAATGCATTTTTGTTATATTTCTCTTTACCTCTTTACCTTAGTCTCCGTTTTTAAGACGCCTTGTCTTTCGAGGACCCCTACACTCTCTCTTCGATGTGTCCTCGAACTCGCATATTCGAATGTATTGCTTCAATCTGTCCCGGTTTCGTGTGTACAGACTGATTCGCAACTGGCGAATGCACGAGAGGTGGAGGTTACATTCTCGAATTTGAGAAGAAAATTCTCTTGAGAGAAATTATTAATTTTTCGGTTTCTCAAAAATGAAATATCTGAGAGATCTGAACACTAAAATAATTCATAACTGTTCTTAAGAGCGACAGATCTGAAAGTATAAGGATGATTTGTATCTATTTTTAAATTAATTGTTAAGCTATTATTTTAACGAAAAATATGATTTCAGACTTAATTTAACGAAACAAACATAATAAAATCAGGATGACATAAAAATATTAAAATAAAACAAGCTGATATAATATCGAAAAACTCATATCGCGGAAGTTTATATTGCGAAAGAAATTTTCGCTGCCAGTAGTCAGATATAATCTGAATGCCCGAAATTAATAACGAACAATTTGTTTCGCGAAACAGAAGTCGAGTATCAGCAAATTTGATCTTGTTGAATGAAACAATTTATATATATCTAATCAGTTTGTCGAGTCACCGGTTCTAATTCCCGTTTTGAAATTCAGCTTGAAGGAGATTTATTGCAAGCGATTAAACGAGAAGATGCGTTACAACTTCTAACGTATCTTCCTTTGATCGTTCGCAGTAAATTTCTTTGACTACTTTGCCAATTATTGAATGTCTGTAATATTAGCATGTGTATCCGCGACAGAAGATCCGGGGGATCGTAATTCAAACGGGGATTTTTCACGGTCGGCCTTGGATCAAAGAAAATTGCGAAAACTTACACTCGACGCGATTCGCGTCAGTTTCTTATTCGGTTATTGCGTTCGCGTCGACGTTCCATTTTAATTTTACGATCTCGCGCGCGGCATAATTACCTATTCCGTTTCGTCCAGATCTCATAGATCTCACAGACCTTGACGTAAGAGAATGTCATTGTCGAAGCGATAAGCGAAGTTTTGCATCACGTTTATCAATTGATGATCTCTTCTCTCTTGCAAATATGCCGCCTCACGTCGTTCGTCTAACGCTTGTTAATGCAACCAGAGCTATACGGCTACACAAAGAGCGGTGCGTGTTTGTAAAACTGTGAGATATGATTCGCGCGAATTACACGATAAATGTGAATTAGCGCGTCACGTGTTTGTTTCGGAGACGAGACGTGTCGATAAATTTGCGGATTCATTTGCCATTCCATCTCGTTAAATATGAACTTAGCACACCGAGGCAAGATACCAATTTCCAGACGTGTACTTAATACTGAGTATTCTTATTGTTTTGTCTTTAAATATAACTATTTAAACTTACAAAAAGTATAAAATATATTACAAATATATAAATATAAATATAGATATAAAAAACATAAAATATATAATTTAAATATATTGAATACATGTATCTTACGTTAAAGATTTAAATATTTGTATTTAAAGACTGAATAAGAGTTCTAATCATGAGATCTTATTGTTTTGGTTTTTACATATCTCTAAATGAGACTTTAAATTATTTTATATGAGATATATATTTTATGTTAAAATCTTAAAAAAAGAGTTTTAAAAAAGAGTTTAGAATTGCATTTCTCAAAACGTCCTTTTATTAAACGCTGAGGAAAATTTTCCTGAAAACCTATATAATTCTCTATCTAAATATATAATTTATGTTACATATATCATGGATGTTCAGTAAAATTTTCCTCAAAAAGAATGTTTTTCGACTACAATTCAAAATATTCGAATACAATCCAAAATAATAAGAATGTCCAGGAACAAGTACTTGTCCGAAAATTGGTGTGCTTTTACCTTACTTCACTGATGTTTCTATAAGGCAGATGCACGTGAATGGGCGCACGTGAGTCACAAATCTCAGATAAATTGCGACTGAGATCAGATAGATTTGTCACGTTGCTCAATATTTGCGATACTCGTGCAAGCCGTCGGATTTCCTTAGGTTTGCCGCGAATCGCCGGGTAATAAAGAGGCAGATAGAAACGCCGATTCGTTGAATCTCACGGATAAGAACGCGCGTTTGTTCGTCGTTGTACAATCACGAAATGAGCGCTCATTTTTCTCTCCATTCGCAAATGTGTTTTCGCTTTCGGAAACGCGACGGGTTTTGTAAGCAAGTCGTCGGTAACGGCGGCACAATCGGACGGAGTGACGCCAGTCAATCGAACCCACTTGTAGTAATTGCGGCTCCTACGATGAATCATATTAGCTCCATCGACGATCGCACACGTGACTGTTTTCGTCGGCATATTATATACTTTGTACACGTACGATGCGGTGTATTACAGCTCACAATTTATTTTCGCGACATGCAACACTCGCTGCTCTCCTCAAGAGTTTTGCCTGCTGTCCGGGAGAACGTTGCACGCTAAAATAATAAAAACAGAGAAAAAAGGTAAATTTTAGTTAGCGCGACATCGAAATTGGCCGATAAAGAGCTATTGAACCATTTCATATGCACATTAAAACAAGATAAGGAGATTTCATTTTGCTTTGTTATCTTTCTCATTATCCACCGCATTCTTCCGCCCCTTATCTTCTTTATTACCGGTTTCTATCATTATATTCCGCCCGTTCGCAGCACAAAATACACAAGATTCTGTTAGTCCTGTTATCGTTACGTCGGTGCAAGTGAATCGCGCGAATAAAATGAATTGCGGCGCGGAGATGTCGGTGCACTTGAGATCGATTTCGGTGTGACGAGTCGAGCAACAGGCTCGCCAATTAAGAGATAAGATTAATTGGTTGACTCTACTTATTACGCTTGTCTGCATAATTGCAATGATTAATGCACAGTTGACGAACTGTGTGCTGTACGCGGTGCAAATAGCTGGAACGCATCGGAACAGATGGGAGCGTACTCTTCGAGGGAAGATGCGGATTAATTAACCCTCTTATCCGGCAATTCCATGAGCGACGTGCGATTTCACACGTCAAAGAACATAACGAGATCATGAAAGTTACAGCAGAAGCCACGAATACGCGGCGAACGTTCTATCTTTAAGGGATAAACCGGGCCATTCGAGTAAGGAGCGATAAACATTCGGCGAATGTTTTATCTTTAAAAAAGAAATAAGACTGTTTAAACGAACTCCTTAAGATAGCCACCGCGAGTGGTATCGATCGGTACTGGACTGCAAAATCCACAAACGTAATGAAACTGCGGACCTTACATAAAACAAAGACACTAACCGTAGCAGTAATTGCGTTTACACGTAACTCCCCGGCAACATGGGAGACGGCGATCTCATCGCATTCATCGTGTTCATATGAAGGAGCAACGCCGGCAACCCTACCGCGAGAAAAGGCTCGGCCGTTCTTCTTTCGTTCGAACAAACATACCGTTAATTGAAGGAAGTGAGTTGTTGACGCAACGGTGAATTTCGTCGGCGAGGAATGAAGTTCGGTAGTCGCCGAGCCGATTAAATATTCGCTGTGTTAATTGTGTTATTCGTTCGACTCGCGCTCTCAGCTTGACATCTTTTGAAGAAGAAGAATCGCCAGTTTTGCTTGTCGTAACAGTTTTCTTTTCGCCGCACCTCGCACTTGCGAAGGAAAACATGACGTATCTGTACAGTACGTGGTATCTGTACAGGTGACAACTGCACGAGTTTTGTACGTTGAATTGTAATGTATATATTTCTCTTGCCTCTCCAGTTGATGAAACGTTTTAATATCCCCGTTTTCGTTTTTTTTTTGTAGGAAATACAAGTTTAAACGACGATATTTAATTTTAATGTCTTAATTTTATTTGACCAAGGGAGCGCGTACACCCTTGGTGCTTTTTATCTCTTTTTTTTAAGATATTTGTAATATAATGTATATAGTTAGTAGATATTTGTAATATAATGTATATAGTTTAATAAACGATTTTGTAATTATTACAATCAAAGCTTTAGTAAGAAATAATAAAATAATAATAAGATAATCAAATCAAAACTCTAGTTGTAATAACTACGAAATAATTGATTAAACTATACGCATTAATTTTACGTGCAAAACTCGTGCAAATGTGTAACTGCCATCACCATGTCTTTTTCTTCGAGTGGCAGTTGTCCGCGACCGACGACGATTTAGACGGAATCATCCGGCAGATCCGACACGCGAGCGTGTCTCGCGTACATGTCGCGGAACATGTTCCGTTTACGCGACGTCGTGTAATATATTTTTGCGATATATTATTCTTATTTAATAGACGGGTTAAAGACATCCTCGTGACATCAGCAGACGTGGCGGTGGCATCGCCTTGACTGCAATTAGCACGTGGTTCACGGCCAAGTTTAATAGACTCGTTGTCTTCCGTTCGTGAATATTGTTTCCAATCGTCCTCAACCGACGATCTAAGTGTCGGACGATCACGTCGCCACGTGATTACGATTTTAATACAAACAGTTCTTCCGTCACCTCCTCCGTAGGTTAATCAGCATTACGTTAAGTAAGTGGTGCATTGTATTGGCGCGAATTAATGCATCAATTTTGTGCATTTTTGCAGAATGAAGAACGGCAACGGGCCGGCGGACAGCAGGTCGAGCATGGAGGGTTACGTGAATCACGGCATGAGCGGATCTACGAACAACGTGGACTCGTACGGCACCGACATGTACCAGTCTTTCCGTGATTCGCATGAAACACATCGAGGGATTCAAGGCTCCTCGGATTTTATCTGTGAGTATCGGACACGACATCTTTTTTGCGTAGGAGTGTTAAAAGTCCTCGACCGCGCCGGCGAAATGTCGTGGAATCGTGCTCTCGATGACAAATTTGTGCACGGGAAAAGATCTCAGTTCGTGCAACTGAATAGGGATGGGATGAACATTCGAGAAATGATATCTCTGTTATCGCAACCGGAAGTATTCATCCGAGCATTTGGCTGCATTAAAACAATAGTTGCAATAACGGAGAACAGTTGGCTGAGTGGAAACTTCTTACAGGAATTTTTCTGTTTCTACACACGTACACCGGGTCTTAACACTTCTCTTTTTCGATACAGTTTGAAAGGCTGCCAGTGATCCAACGAGGGGAAATAATTTCTGGGAATTAATCAATAAAAACAAGTTCTCGTATTGGACCATTGGCTTCGTTCCAAATCGCACCGAGAAAAGTGTTCAAATCGTCTTGAAATCAAGTGTATACGTGTGCAGCACCACCGCCAAGTTGTAAACGGAATACAAGTGTGATTGTATAAATTTCAAATGTAAGAAGTATGGATTGGTGATACGCGTATTCCTGGTGAATATCGCGCTCGGAAAGAAAATCGCAGTTCGTGCAACTTAATAGGATACCAGATGAAAATTCGACGATAAAAAATTATAGCTCTGTTACCGCAATCAGAAATATTTGTCTGAATATTTTCAGCTGTATTAAAACTTGATTGCAAAACTAAAAACAATTGCAAGAATGTTCCAACTCACAAGTTTATAAGGTATTGTCTTAAAGATGTCTTAAAGATGTCTTAAAGACGCCCTAAAGACGTCTTATGTCTCGATTTTGGACATTTGTGCTATCTGGGAACCCACAAAATCACAATTTTTTAGTTTTTTTTACTAGAGTGGGTAATTCATACATACGTCTTTCTACATAACAGAAAAGATCCAAGCTTTAGAGATATCTAAAATTAAATAAAAAACAATTTTTAATTGGTACTAGTTGAATCTTTTTTAGCTACTTCTTAAGGGTTAAGCTTGTCGATGAACATCACTGAAGAGAAGAAAATTGATTATGCTTGACTTCTTGAATGATTACGAAGAATCTCAGCGCTATATTTTTTAAATTATATATCAAATTTTCACCTTTATTTTCCTTGAAACGTGCTTCATGTGAGTTGGATCGTTATTGCATAACTATGGCCAATTGACTGAGAATAGAAACTGAATAGGCTAAATAGAATTTTCCTACAAGAATTTTTTTGTTTTTACAATCGAGCTTTTTATCTGATACTTATTCTTATCAGAATAAATATCACAAACTTACTTGAAATTATTATAATATTATTAAAAAAATAGTAATGTTGAAAATTTATATGAAAAAACTGTAATATTCTCTCCGTGACACAGATTTAAAATTTAAATAATATGAATTGATGGTTCACGCTCACGTCAAGGATACCGCCACTCAGGAGTGAGTGGCCTACGATAAAATTCGCGAACAGCAGAGCAGACACGCAATATAATGTATTTTATGAAATCGACGGCAACTTTGCGTGCAATTTCGTGCTTCCTATGCCTCGTACATGTGACAATAACGCGAAAATTCTTGCTCAATCTCAATCTCGCGGACAAACAGCCCTGAATCATCTTCGTTATATTGGCGATTCATGTGACTCGATCATGCGATCAAGATACAAAGTGTGTGAGACGCCGTCGGGAGTACGATTGAAAAGTCTGAGATGGTATTCGCGACTTCTCGCGCGACGATTCGCGAGTTCACGAGTTCGCAAACGGTCGTGCTGATCATATTTCAACAGGAAACTTATTGAAAATGACCTTCGCGTGTTACGGAGCCACGAAGTTTGCATTATTGAGGATTCTAATTTGTTCGGTAGTTACGACAATTGAAAAGATAAGGACTACCTCGCGACTTGTTAGCCCCGTCAGTCGTGATTAATGCGATTTAATCGTTATCGGCAAAACAAACTCACGGTTTGCAAATCTTATAAATAATCTCTTAAGCTTGAAATAAATGATAACGGTCGTTTCACTCTCACAAATTCGCCACGCAACACTACAGCGTCAGTTGACGTGAAATTTCAGCGAAAAATTGATCGTAGTTATGCAAAAATAATTTAACCAGATGGTACATGGAATACGTTTCGTAAAAAATTAAAATAAAGAGCCGTAGTAGTTGTTACTTAAAATTCGCTTCAAATGAGATATTCAGATTTGAATTTAAAGTTAGATGTAAATCTTTCAGAGAGAGAGCTAAATCGCAATTATAAATGTAATGTAATAAATGCATTAGTAACGGATATATTGCGTGATTCAAGTAAAAAATTCAAGGCTGACTCTAAATCCATATCTGAGTATCTCATGTGGGACAAATTTCAAGTAATGACTATTAATATGGGCCAAAAATTTGATATGTGATTTAAAAAGTAATGGATAGCTAGATATTTAGTAATTTTTTGCAATCGTTCAATATTATTTTCGCAAAAAATAAAAATTGTTTTTTAATTAATTTCATACGACGATTTATTTCATAGAGCTTGTACCTTGTTTCGTGTATATACAGAAAAATTTAAAAATAATAAGTTTGTGAGTTGAGTTATTTTTGTATAACTATGGCCAATTCTCAAACGGACCGATCGGAGGCAGACTTGAAATATGAGGCAAGCTTATAAATTACATGATAGGAATATTCCTCGCTTATCGAGTTGATGAGATTATTTTATATAACTTAAACATGAACAGCCGTTTTATTGTTGATTGTTTTGATCTTTAACGTCATCATGTGCTTCTAATATATTCGCACGGAAAAAAAAGGATCAGTTGAGTTAACATGACAATAACACGACCAAGTACAAACTAAGAATCGAGTTTAGTTCATAAGAATCGGAAATTCTTCACTAAAACACGTTTTCTTTTACTAAAACGTGGTCAATTGTGCTATTATCATGTTAATTTAACCAATCTTTTTCTCCGTGCGACATCGGAAATTCCGCGCGTACCGTGAAAAATTAAGAAAAGAAATCATTAAAACATGTCCATTGAAATTCTGGAGTTGTAGAGCCTACATTCGGCGATGTGTAACGAACTACGAGATGGTAACGAGACAACGTGCACTATTACAATTCATGTACGTCGTTAATGATTTTATTTCACGGGACTGGTTCGCCTTCCTTGACGTGGTGCGCAAATCGTCCTTGGGAGGAACGAACCGCACGTCCCGGCACGTGCCTGGAAGTGCATGTTATTTTTTTCTTGTCTTCCTTTCAATGAGAGACGATAAATCCAATGCACTGTCCGTATGATATGCGCGTATGTTGTCCTTGTCACCGTCGGCAAGGCGCGTTTTTGCGTACACGAAATTATTTATGGGTCAACCGTGTGCTCGCCGAATGGCGCGACAAGTGCGAATCCCTGTGTGTTGAGAGTACATGAGAGTTACGAGTCACGATAAAGTTTGGTCAACTGTGAAGGGAACGGTTTGTTAAGAAAACTGGATCGCTCTTATTTACCTTGGAAGAGGATTCAAAATATTCAAAATATTCATAGATTCGTTAAACATGTCTTAGGCCGTAGTAACAGTTGTCACTAGAAATTTGTCTCACTTGAGGTACTCCGATTCTTATTTCGAGTCAGATGCAAGTTTTTCAAATAAACTATAATATATATGACATTTATATCGATAATTATGTACTATTCAACGAGAAAACTCTTATCTAACTCTGAATTCAAACCTGAGTACCTTGCTTGAGACGAGTTTTAAGTAATAACTATTAATACGAGCTTTAGACCCGCAGTAATAGTCATTACTTGAAACTTATCTTACATGAGATACTCAGATCTGAATTTCAAGTTATATCAGAGTTTTTCGTTTGAATTGTACAATATTCGTGATATTATATTTGTAATTAAAATTCAGCTGAAAAATTTACACCTAACTCTAACTTCAAATCTGAGTATCTCTTACCTGAGGCAGTTTCAAGTAATGACTATTAATATAGGTCTCAGACTTATTAACACGAGTCTAAATGACCTAAATTTCCAATGATTCAATACGGGGAATCAATCGGTGTGTGTTAAATAAACGAGTAATCTCTTGGCTGCAATGGAACTTGGATTTTAAAGACCTTTTTTTGAAAACAAAAGTATTATTATATTACGCATGTAAGGTAAACTTGTATGTAAGATGGAGTGTAGAAGTGAAACCGACATGTTGTCCAATCTTGATCTTCTCCCTCGACACCTGACTCAATGTCGTGGAGAATAAGAAGATGCGGGTTCTCGCTCCTGCATTCACTCATTACACTAAAACGCCACGTACAAACGACTACATTGTATGTAAGATTATTGTTTGCTGTGTCAACAGTGATCGAAGAACCAGGGGATGACGAGGTTAAGCAGAAGGAAGGTCTCCTGAGAACGGCGTTGCAATACACGAAGCGCCGTGTCAGGGCCACGTGCACGAAGAAAACCCTTTACAAGAGGTTGCCGATCTTGAGCTGGCTGCCAAGGTACAATGGTCAAGATGCACTCGGAGATCTGGTTGCCGGAATTACCGTGGGCCTCACCGTCATTCCTCAGTCGCTAGCGTACTCGAACGTCGCCGGTTTACCGCCGCAGGTGCGCAAAGAGATCTTTATCGCTCGCTCAACGACTCACGAGGGATTACGTGGAGGGTTACATCAAGCTTACGTCGCAGCAGTCATAGTGGATGCAATTTAAAGGAAGATAATCTTCAATTTATCCGAGATTAATTGAGTTTTTCTTTTTTTTTCAACGGATGATTCTTTCGAAAGAGCTGCAGTTTTCTGGTTCAAAGAAATAGTACAGAAATAGAAGAGTTATTTGTGAACTAATCTTTGATAAGGATTTAATTTATGATGATTTTAACTCGACACGTATCACCTCTTCGTTAAACAGTGATAACAGATGGAGTTTTTAGATACCCTCTCATAGCCTGTTGCTTTTTTGTTTCAGTATGGGTTATACGGTAGCTTTCTGTGTTGCTTCATCTACGTAATTTTCGGATCCTGCAAAGACATACCCATGGGACCTACTGCCATTGTTTCATTGTTGACTTACCAAACAGTGTCCCACTTGGATGATCCAGTGCCGCACGCGATTTTATTATGTTTCATAGCCGGGGTCGTAGAGCTAATCATGGGTATATTTGGCCTTGGTAAGTCAATATTTCAATAATTTGTTAATATCAGTGCTAATCCTCTAGACCGCATGAAGATACTTTTTTCTAAAGTACTTATCTACATACGGTTTGCGAAGTAACGAGCAAAATAAAGATCGCTACGTATGGAAGGAATGGAGAGTACCTTTTTCCGTTCCAGGATTTTTGATCGATTTCGTATCCGGACCGGTGAGCTCTGGTTTTACATCAGCTGTAGCTCTGATAATTATCACATCGCAAGTTAAAGATATCCTCGGCATCTCCGCCAAGGGTGCTCAGTTCCTCGAGATGTGGCAGAGCATCGCTGCGAACATACAGGATACGTCAGCGTGGGACGCTGCTCTTGGAGCATCCTGCATAGCACTGCTCCTAATCCTGAGGGTAATTATACAATATTTTCTATTCTTTTACGAGAGCACAGAAAAACTTTATCCTTTTCTTTTTTAACGCACTGTTATTAATATAAATTTTGATTTTATCAAATTATTCAGATACAGATTTAACGTATGTGGGATTATAATGAGATGTATGGGTTGTAGTTACTGGCTTCGTGTAACATCGGACCAGAAAACGAAGAACTTCGTACTACAAAACACCGTGTTGTGAACAAGATCCTCTGGCTGATCAGCACTTCGCGAAACGCGCTGTTAGTAGTACTCTGCGGATGCTTGGGCTACAGCTTTCAAACTGAATCGCCTGTCAAGCTAATTGGTATGAGAATTCAATGTTGCAAATAAACTTTATCTTTCTGAAAAAAAGAGTAGCTCATCTATTTTTGAACACTATAATTTTGAGTGATTTAAATATGTAAGTTCTTCTCCCTCTTTCTCTCTCTCTTTCTTCAGAATGTTCTGAAACATTAATGTAATCGTACGGAATAGTTCGTGAAGTTTACGGCGCGAAATTAATTTTTACTAAGCTCGGTCAATAAGTATTCACGTTTTCATAATTGTACACGGCAAAACGTCTATATATTCAGTGGTTATTATTGAAAAGTCGGATCAAATTACAAAATCTCTTATATTGCAGGATATATACCGGGAGGTATGCCCACGGTGCAAATTCCTCCGTTTGGATACATGAAAGATGACAACACGACGGTCACGTTCATCGACATGCTCGGCAATTTGAGCAGCGGCATTCTCGTTTTACCACTCATTTCTCTGATGGAAGATATCGCTATTTGCAAAGCTTTTGGTGAGTAGAACGTACTTTGGTAAAAACTGATAAAAACTCCTCGTTCCCGCTATTTCATAATTTTATACTAGAAACAGATTAAACATCGTGTGAAATTTACTTTTTCGACACGTGAGAAATAGTTCGGCTCTTAAGATAGTTGGTGCGATTAAGATAGTTGTTACATGAGATCTTTACGCTTGACAGCTAATGGGAAATCGGTAGACGCGACGCAGGAGCTGATAGCGATTGGCATGTCGAATATTGGAAATGCCTTTGTACAAGCTTTCCCGGGCACAGGATCTCTCAGCAGGAGTGCGGTAAACAATGCTTCCGGCGTCAGAACACCGTTCGGTGGTATCTACACCGGTGAGTTACCAGCGCGTGGTGTGCTTGCGGTTCTTGTAAATTAATTCTACTAGCATGCGAATCGTTTGAGTCGAAAATCGACGAAAATCGAGAGCGAGGAAGAATCATGAATAACGTCTTGCGCAGAATTTCTGGAATTTTCATTGTCATTGAATTTTTCTTGAACGAGACGAGTGGCAAGTGATTTTCCTTTAATTCACTTTTTCTAACAAAAAACAGACTATACTTTAGCGTTTAGCATAAATTTCCATTCTTCGCACGATCGCACAAGCATTGAAATCGTTGGTTTCAGGTACACTGGTGATTTTAGCCCTGCTGTTCCTTACTCCGTACTTCAGTTATATTCCGCGCGCCACTTTAGCGGCTATTATTATAGCCGCGGTCATCTTCATGGTCGAAGTCAAGGTGGTGAAGCCGATGTGGAGGACAAAAAGTAAGTGCACTCTTCTGACATGAGAAATGCCGGCGTTGAATACGCCACGAGTGAATTATTTCTCCGTGTTTCAGAATCAGATCTGATCCCGGGGCTAGGCACGTTCATCGCGTGTCTGGTCTTGCAGCTGGAGATCGGTATCCTTTGCGGAGTCGGATTAAATATTATCTTCATTCTGTATCATGCCGCCAGACCGAAAATATCTGTGGAGAAACTCACGGTGATTATCCATTTGTTGTCAGATCTTAAAGAATTACTATAAATTTTCCGTGTCGCGATTATAAATTTCAGAAATCCAAAATTATGAATTTCGAAAATGTCAAATTAACGATGATGCAGCAGTGTGCCTTAATCACATATAAATCAATCAATATTACAGATTCATTAAGTACAAATTGATTAAGTATAAATTCACGATGTAACACGAGAAAGAAATGTTTGGTTGGATTAATCAGATTTCTAGCGAGATATGTACGAATGAAAAAATTCCAGTTGAAGTTACCAAAGTTCTATTAAGAATACCAGAAATCTTGTTAACTCAAAGAGAAGAGACAGAATTTCTGGTCCGCTTATGTTTCACAAAAAAATAATTAATCCAACTAAATTTCATTTTTTGTGAACGTTACACAACCAGCATTTGCTGGGACATAATTACGAACTTCACAAGACCGGTCGAAGACTGATCAGTCGTTTCTTCCGACAGACTAATCGCGGAATCGAATACTTGATGCTGACGCCCGATCGCTGCTTGATATTCCCATCTGTGGACTATGTTCGTAATCTGGTGACCAAGTACAGCCAGCGTGCTGGAAACGTCGCGACACCCGTGGTGATCGACTGCTCGCACATCTACGGCGCGGACTTCACGGCTGCCATGGTGATCGAGACCTTGACGAAGGACTTCGCTGGCCGTGGCCAGCCGCTCTTCTTCTACAACCTGAAACCCTCGGTATACGCCGTCTTCGAGGGTGTCGAACCCACGGACTTTGTCGTCTATTACACTCAGGAAGCGTTGGACGACCTGCTGAACGAGAGAGGCTATCAAAAGCAGATCAAATAACAGCGGTCACGCAGCCGCAATGGTCAGACGCGTGATTGTGGAAAGTGCGCAGGCACTTTGGAGCCGTTCATCAAGACTGTCAACGAGATACAACAGCTGGTTACCAAACGCGCGACACATATGAAGGCAGTATTCGTAGAGAGGTAGCAGGGAAGCCATGGGGATGATGTAGAGTAACAACACGACTGCGAAACTCACGATCGTGGCAGAGATGGACGTCGGCGGGACGATAAATCGCGAATGTTATCGGCCCATCTTATCAACCACTCTGTTGCCTCAACGATCAAAGCGATTTTGGCGAATGGTTGGCGAATGCACGGCGAGCGAAAAGAACGATTTCGCGGTTATTTCCGGACAGCACGTTACTGGGAGACCACTGGGAGACAGAGTTAGTGCGCTATCTTGAAATCACCGCGGAAGCAGCGGATCTGCAAAGTGACTTATACATACACGTATGTATTATGTATTTATATATCGTCGTTGACTCGGCGATATTTCGTGCGTGCGGGCGTTTTCGTGCGCGAACTCACATACCCTCTGAATTTTTTGGAGCAAAAAGTGACAATATTTTCACTCGAGGCGATAGCGAAAATATTGTATCTGTAAATATTGTATCACTCAAAATCACAAGAGTGAATGTTTCACTCAAGGTTAGAGCGGATGTTCTGATTGATTGGAGTGACTATGCTTCCCCGGTGGTGGGATGCATCTCTTCAATTTCGAGCGAAAATATTCACTCGAGGATTCAGAGTGGAGAATTCACTTTACAGGCGTGAAAAATAACTCGTATTCGAGTTCCGGCAATCACTTTACTTTGGAGAAATTTGGAGAGCAGATTTCGTTATTTAAAGAAATATCGTGTATCTTCGTATTCAGCCCGCACTTTCCGATGATTCGCGCAACTCGACGCGCTAATAATGCAAACGCGTCGGGGTCGATAAGCAGTGCACGCGGAAGATATCGCCGATCTAATATCTGATAAAGACAGTATTCAATGTACGTTTATAAGCGAGGGTTCCTACGCGATGTGTGTACTTTAGCGGCTGAATATCAAGTAATTTCGATTCGCCACTCGGTTATTAATTCGTGCAACGTCAGTAATCGCAGATAACAACGCGAATACCGGAGCGCGAATGTATCTCGAAGTATGACACTGCTGCCACTGTACGCCTCGAAAAGGAAGAACTGAGGCGCATTCGAAGCAGTTTTTCCAAATACGATAAAAGAAATAACTCCAAATGAGGAAGTTATTTGCACAAAACAGAAGTTCAAGAAACGTCAGAAAGATTGAGAGCCGATTTTACAACAGTAGCTTAGACTTAAATTTGAGTTCAAGCTCTGTTTAAATATTGCAAGTACATTGCTAGAATAGAGTTTGAACTGAAATCTAAGTTTAAACTATTGCTATTGAAAAATCGATTCTTAAGGAGAACGTCTTTTCCATTATTAATAAGCGTTGCTTTAAACTTGTCCCACGTGACATACTCAGATTTGAATTTAAAGTTATATTTAAATTTAAAGTTATATTTAAAGTTATATTTAAAATTCGAGTTTTGTGCTCGAATCATATAATATGTATTGCGTTTGTAATTCAGGCAAACTCGCATTAAAACCTAAATCCAGATCTGCGTATCTCACCTGAAGTGAGTTTCATGTAACGACTATTAATACGTGTCTTCAACTGTCGTTTCGCTCGAATATTCCTCGTGAGCTCAACGCGGCAAAACGCGAGTCTATATATTCTCACATCGATATTCAGTTTTTTATATTTAAGATCTTCATATTATAATTTAAGATAAAATCCTGGCGTGTGTATGAAGAAGATTTCGCGCATTCGTACGTTCCTACGTGCGCTACTTTGCAGCACAGATGGAATTCTCTGTCTGGAAACATTTGTATATAACTATAATAAGTTCTTCGAGAACAATACTGTGATAATTTTATAAAGAACGTCTAACGCGGACGAAATCGCGATCAAGAGATAATGGTCCTTCGGCAATCGCAATTTCTTCCTTGGTGGACTGCGGGACGATGTTGTTTCGTGAATGCTCACGAAACGCTGTTATTACCGATTCGCGACGCGACTTACGCGGGTGTAAGCGCGCAACGAGAGCGCTTTCCTTGTGGATTAAGAGGGCGAGAAAGAGAAGCAGATTTTCTGTAAGAGAGAGGCCTCTATCAGGCCGAGTGCTCGTGTAGATGTCTAACATCAAGGGCTTTAACGAGAGACAGAAATTTTCACATCTTTTTTGCAATAATAAAAAGAATCCTCATTGTTGAAAGGTGTTTGAATTCAGTGCGGTCTGTCGCCTCGTCGAAACAACGCCGATCGTTAATTGTATATTATACATGTAGTTAGAATTTTACGATTACTCGTTTTAAAAAAAAAAGGAAAAGACATGCATTGTTCCGAAAACTCAAAAATTCTGAAATTCAGAAACTGGAATAAGTTACCAAAAAATCACAATATTGAAATTCGATTACTGAACTAATATCACGAAATTCAATTTTTCCGATGTGTATCAAGAGAAAAAAATGTTTAAAAAACAAAGAATACTTATTCGGTGGATAGGAATAACATATTCTCTTCTTTTTTGTTTGAATAAACGATTGTTTTCATGAAAAGCCAGTTTTAGGAAAATGTGCATTTTCATATTTGAAAAAAATTTTTTTTCTTTACTATAGAAGTATATATATCAAGAATAAGTATGTTGTTAGTAATCGTCGAATAAATATTTATCTTTTAGATATTTCTTTTTCAGTGTATATAATTATCCCAAGCTTATGTTAAAAGCTTAAATACTTCTATGTAAAGAGCAAAACAACAAGAACGTACAGGATTGATTGCGCGCTCGAGCACTGATACTTTTGCCTTACGACCCCTTTTAGAAACATTTTTTCAATTTCGATACATTTATTCCGAGACAATGCATGTCCACAAAAAAAATTACTTCTTAGAATATTGTTGCGACGCACAACGAGGCGGATTATTTTTTGCCGGCGATCGAGATCACCTGCGGCTCGATAACGTCGACAGAGAAAACCACGGGTCGCTGATCGATGGATCTGTGAACGGTTGAACGATGTACTTATGCTTACGCATCCGTGCGGCGTCCTCAATTTTATACGATTAATACATAAGAAAATAACCCAAGGGAAAGTAGTTGTTATTCGTAACTGACCTCACCCCCGCCGACCACCGTTGTATACATATATAGGTCGATCTTGCGCTTATCGCTCGTCGCGAGCGGCACGAGCGGATTGAGGCTTGCCACCCTTCTCCTCTCTCTCTCTCTCTCTCTCTCTCTCTCTCTCTCTCTCTCTCTCTCTCTCTCTCTCTCTCTCTCTCTCTCTCT